TTTCTAATACCATCTCTACCTCCTCCATCTCAATCCCAACACCAAGGCTCATCCTAATCCTATGGGATTATGAATCATCTCTCTATCTCTCAAAACAAATACAACATATAGTGGATCTCACTTCCATCTCAATCTCATTCCCACTTTTATCTCTCAAAATAAACGGGGCTAAGCTGCATCCGTGACATGAATAGACCCTTCATAATAGTAAGAGTAAATACACTTGAGTATATATTTAAAATAATATTTTTAAATTAATGATAAATTTTATAAATATTAAAATATAAAATTATAAATTTTTTCATGTAATAGTAATTAATTTTTTGAAAAATCTTCTCCCTAATAATAAGCATCATAAATTATTAAATAAATAAATTTTAATTCAAAAAATGATGAAAAAATAAGTAATAATTGTCATTGTTGTTCATTTATTTATAGACTTAAAGGTATTTTAATATTTTAATAGTTTTTTTTTAAAAATAATTTCATACTAAATTTTATTTAGTACATGAAATGATAAAAATCCACCACTACTATTATAACATCTCCAACCATTATCATTTGAAGAAGTTAGGAGTAAATTCCGTTTGTTTTGGGTTATGTAGGTGGATGGGGATTAGGATGGTAGAGGTGTTATTTAGTATTGTGTTTATTTGTAGAGTTAGGGAGGGGATTGAGATAGAGGTTGGGGAGATGGCATTAGAAAAATAGTGAGGGGATTAGAAATATATTTATTTTTTTTATTTTATATATATTGAGAATTTTTTTATAAATATTAATGTTTAATTTTTTATATTTTTTTATTTGTTTTATTATTTTATGTAAAAATAATTTAACAATTCCTACATTAACAACTATCATCAAAACAAACACAATTTTACTTAATCCCCTCACTAACAATCCCCTAACTATTAATCCACTCACACTATGAATCCCCTCCATTCTACCTCTGAAAACAAACGGGGCCTAATAAGTATACTTATTGTCCAATAAGTCTCATAATAATTAATGACATTTTTCACAAAATATTATTAAAAAATATCATTAATTATTAATTTTCAACGACAGTTTAAAAATTTTATCGTAAAAAATGTCAATAATTATAAGTTTTAACAATAGTTTAAAAAATCGTCACAAAAAAGTTATTAATTTTCAACTTTCAACGACAATTTGAAAGATTCGTCACCAAGAACGTCATTAATTGTAAATTTTAGAGACAATTTCATAAAACTCTTGACAAAAAAAAAATCAATAATCGTCAATTTTTAGCAATATATGCAAAAAATTGTTACAAAAATTATTTTTAACGACGATTTTATTAAGATTTATTTTCAATAGGACTTGATAAAAATTAAATCCAACTATTAAGACCTATTGGTATTTTACCCTAGTCATTTTGAATTCACAACGATAATTTGAATCATTGATTTCGTAAGTTCAACAATAAAGATTAGTTGTGCAAAAAATCAATTTCATTGAATATCACTAAACAGACAAGTATGGGTTTAAACTTAAATAGTATGGGTTTAAAATTAAATCGTTTATTTTATATATATATATATATATATATGATTTGTTTATCTATCTGTTGATATTAAATGAAACTAATTTTTTGCACAAATAATCTTCACTGTAAGATTTACTAGATGAACAATTTGGATCATCATTCTTGGTCCAACATAGATCCCACAAATAATTGAAATACAAAGGATAGTGATAGGAAGAGAAGTTATTTTCGTAGAGAAAAATCACAGAAGATTGATCAAGCCGTAAGAACTTCAAAATATAATTTAGGTCTTGAGTTCGGATCATTTCAATGAATCATTGAAATTTTTTCCAATCATTAAGCTTAGAATCCTGCAAATTACTAATTACTAAAAGATAAAAAGAACATTAGTAGAGAAGCACAACCCAGTAAAGTGACCTCGGCTCATTAGTATTTAGGATAAATTACATTAATCTCCCTTGAGGTTTTTAACAATTACACAGGCCTCTCTTCTTCTTTTTTTTAAATTATATTGACCTCTTTTGAGGTTTATTTTTTATTTGCACATTCTCCATTTCTTTTAGTTAGCCGTTAGTTTGACTAACAGTTCTAACTTTTTTGAGGGGGGCAAAAGTTAGTGATTAGTAGTTAGATTAGCAAATAGGGAGATTTCAGTTTGATTTGTATAACATTTGAAGTGATTATCTGTAAATTAAAAATAATAGAAATCAATTAATCATTTTTTTAGATAATTATTGATACCAAATGAGAAATAGAAGAACTTGTACATATGTATTCCAATAAATTATATTTATAGTCAAATCATCTGATTATCTAAGAATATTATTTAATACAATTCAAATAAATACATGTTGTGTCTTAATTTGATTTTTATTAATTTAGATAGTGAGACTCATCCATTTTATCTTCTTTTTTTTTTTAAAGATAATTAAACTGTATGATGTCAAGTATTGATTAAAACTACTAAATAACTTCTGTTGAATTTATGTAATTAATTTTTTAATTTGTTTCATTATTACTTTTGTCATAACAATATGTTATTTTAAAACACACACTATAATATGTGTACAATATACAAATTATAATATTTATAATGTTAATTATCACAAAATATCATAAGTAATTTTTTTTTTCTTTGAAAGCGTACAACGCCAAGTATTAGGAGACTTTCAACGAGATACTTGATTGCCCGACCAACCTAGCAATCATCCATTATTAGTGCGGTCTTCCAGTCGGAGATAGACTCAAAGACTCGCTTACAATGAATCAACCATCGACCATGGAGTTGCTCATGCAACATATTAATTATCCAAGTTGAAGATGATGCAGCCGTAGCTACCATGAAGGAAAATCTGGTAATGGCAAACAAGAGAGTGGCGGGAAAGGTTCACACAGTTAGATATGAGAAAAACCATCCGAACAACCACAGAAGGGAGTAGAACCATGGGAACAACCGCAATATCAAGGATCGCAACTTTAACTGGGAAAACTCCCCCGCGATATCTTGCATGATGCCAAGAGAAAGTTGAATGCCCGAATTGGCATCACCACGGTCTTTAAAAACCCAATTTATCGCATCCTTAGTGAGATCCGAGACGAGACATATGGCCGGCGGCCAGCTAAGTTGGGTGACGCCCAGAGAGGTTTTAATCTGAGGTACCGCTGCACCTATCACGACGAGCGAGGGCACCGCATAGAAGATTATGTTCCTTTGAAACAACACTTAGAAGAATTGGTGGCAGCTGAGCATTTAAATAGTTACATCGATAGAGGCGTCAAAGTCGCACCACAAGGCCCTAGTGAGCCTAACAACCTAGCCGCCTTAGATGCCCCTCCCCAATGAATTATCAATGTAATCCATGGGATCAGCAAGCCAACGCAGATATGCTAGCTCAGAGGGATGATAAAAAAAAGCCAAACATATGAGGGAGGTTCTATCCATCCAGCCCGCTACGAGAAGGGAAAGGCTGAGGTAAAAGATGTCTCACTTTCTTAACTAGAGACTTGCAGTGAATCCAAACCCCTCACAATGACGCGTTGGTCGTCACATTGCGTGTCAAGGACTTTGACATCAAACGCATTTTGATTGACCAAGGCAGCTCAGTCAAGATAATGTATTATGAATCATGATGCTTTCAAGCAGCTCAAGCTGGAAGATAGAGACTTAGAGTAACTCCAACTACACTCTTTATTTTTCACTAGATAAAGAACAAAAAAAGTACACTCTTTATTTTACCTAATTATTTTAGCTATTGTGTGTTCCAACCATACTCTTTATTTTAACTAGTTATTCAAACTAACTTAACCAATTTTCAAAAAAAAAATGCTATATATATTACTGTATTTTTCATAGAACGCCACATTCGCACCAAATGCTAATATGGTTGCCAATGTGACATTTGCAATAATATTTTTTAATATTAGTTTTAAAATATTATAAAAAATAATTTTTAACTAATATTTAATTTTTTTTATAAAATGTATAGTATGTGAATATATACCAACATATGAATTTTGTGGAACCATCTTGAAGGGGAAGGGAGGGGAAGAATAAAAGAAAACAATAAAGAATTTAAAAAAAAAATAACAATATAAAGGAAGTTCATCAATAATTGTAATTTATCAAATTAAGAACTGAAAGAACACAAATTAACTAATCAAAAACCTTACAAAGGTCAATGAATGAAATAAGAAAAAAAAAATCATAAATAGCAAAGTTAGGAATAAACTTCAAAATAAATAAACTATTTCTAATTCAAGTTGTTACAAATCTCCATATAGATGTCACAAATGCTTAACTAGGTCTGCTTGGAGTTTAGAATGAGTTTGTCTATCTCTGATGCGATGTTGATTTTGAATGAATTCATAAAGTTTGGGTGTGTGCTCGGGCGACACTGCTGGAGGGAGACTTTCATTGATTGCATCATAATTATATTTTGTTCATTTCGCTCATTCTCAACAATCATGTAATGCAATATTATACATGCCTTCATAATAAATTTAAGGGTTTCAACTTTCCAAAAGCATGCAAGTCCTCGCACAATTGCAAAACGTGCTTGGGGCACTTCAAATGCTCATTCGACATCCTTCGGTGCTGACTCTTGAGCTTTAGCAAAAATGTATTTGCTTATTGCCTCGTGGAGATGGGATTGTTTTAACGAATGTTTACCATTGAGGATATATACCATCAACGAGATAATATCCCATTGATGTCATTATGAGATCCCTGTAATCCAAAAAATGCATGCCACATCCATAGATCATAAGAAGCCACCGTTTCTAAAATAATAGTTGGTTCATGGATATGACCACAACACATTCCTTTCCATGCAGTGGAACAATTCCTCCACTTCCAATGCATACAATCAATGCTCTCTAACATTCTAGGAAACACACTATTTTTTCCCATTGCTAGTAATTTAACAATGTCATCTTTGTTTGGTGTCCTCAAGTACACATCTGAAAAAATTGCAACCACTGCCTCAACAAACCTTCATAGACTTTCTGTTGCAGTGCTTTCTCTAATCCTTACATAATCATCTACAGAATCTATCGCTACCCCATAAACGAGCGTCCTCATAGAAGCTGTCATCTTTTGAAGGGAAGATAGACCAAGAACTCCAACAGCGTCTTGTTTCTGGACAAAATAAGGATCATATGCTTCCACCATAGATAAAATACGAAGAAAGAGACATTGACTCATCTGCAACCTCCTCCTAAATAAATTAGGAGGATATGTAAGAGTTTCAGAGAAGTAATCTTGATAAAGTCTCTTATGGCCTTGAATTCGATTACGATAAATAACTGCATGACCTTGAATGGAACCACGATGTAATCCCAATCGTCTCTCATTATTTAGTTGCACTTCTTCTGAAGCAGCTATTGCAAATATCTCCAATTCACTATCAAAATTAGGGTTATCAATAATCATATTCATTACACTATTGCGAGACATGGGAATTAAAAAAAGAATGAAGCTGAGAGATAAACTACTGAAAATAAATATCAGGTTGTGTTTTTCTTCTTAAGCTTTGCAAGTTCCTGCCTAACAACTTCAATTTTCTGCAAAGTCAAATTTATAAAACATATCAGACAACTTCCAAAATCAAAACACCAGCAAACTTACACAATCTGTATTTAATTCATCAACTAATAGAAATGTCCTATAAATAAGTGGCACTTCAATCCAACATACAACATGCAATTATATTTAGCCATGGAGTACTTTAGCAAGCATTCAACAAGAATTCCACTCAGTAATTAAATTATTACTAGTTCAAGCATTCAACAATAAATGTCTTCCCAGATGCTCAACCAATCATATAAAGAATGCGGCGATTGGCCTTGCATCACGCTGAAGTGGTGGCTAAAGAAGTTAAAAACTTATTGGAAGTCAGGGCAATCCAAGAGGTGCATTACCCTCAATGGATTTCCAATATGGTTGTGGTGCCCAAGAAGAATGGAAAATTATGAGTCCATGTTGACTATAAGACCATCAACAGGGCCTACCCCAAAAATAACTTCCCATTGCCACAAATTGATCAATTTGTGGACCTTATGGTCGGGCAGAAGAGACTCAATTTCTTAGATACTTACTGCGGCTATCACCAGATTGCCATGTATGAGCCAAACCATGAAATTACTTCTTTCCCAATCCCAAGGGGGTTATTCTGCTATAAGGTAATGCCCTTCAAGCTGAAGAATGCCAGGCCACATTCCAAAGAATGGTTATTAACATATTCTTCCCTTTACTTGGTTGAACTATGAAAGCGTACATTGACGACATGGTGATCAAAAGCAAATGCGAGGCTGATCACTCGACCGACCTACCTGAAATGTTTGACATTCTTAAGCGGCACAAGTTACACCCCAATGCATCTAAGTGCGCCATCGGCGTGGGATTCGAAAAGGTTTTGGGCTTCTTAATGACCAACCGAAGCATTGAAGTAGATCCCGCCCAAATCAAGGCCATAGAAGAGTTGAAGCAGCCAAACTCTGCAAAAGATGTGCAACATATTGCTAAGGTGATGGTCGCGCTTAACAGATTCATAAGTTAGTCATTAGATCGTTGCTACCCATTCTTTCAAGCTTTGAAATTGAAGTTCTCAGGGGATAAAGAGTACGACCGAGCATTGGCAGATCTGAAGACGTACTTGTCATCCGCTCTACTTCTCATAACGCCAAAGCCGGGTGAAGAGCTTTTCCTCTATCTAGCCGTCTCTCAACACACCATTAGCACGGTTCTCTCTAGGGCTGAAGGCATACAACACCTCCTAATCTTCTATATGAACAAAACATTGCTCCCAATGGAGTCAAGATACTTGCCATTGGAAAAGCTTGCCCTGGAACTAATGATGGCCTCCAAGAAGTTAGCACACTATTTTCACGCCCACACTATCATCGTTCTAACCAAATTCCCATTGACGGCCTTATTCGAGAGGGCAAACTTCTATAATCGGATCTTAAAGTTGGCAGTTTAACTAGGGTAGTTTAACATCAAGTTCCAGCCTAAAACAATAATCAAAGCCCAAGTGTTGTGTAGACACCCCATTTTGATTGGCCCAAAGACTTTGATGCTTTCTTTTTCCAACGATGAAAATCAGAATGTGTTTCTCACACAGTCCTCAGTAAGAAAGATGGAATTTGACCTTTATTCCCAATCCTAAGCCAATTTCGGCCAAGTGTTTAAGCCTCGTAGGACACCCTGAGTGAAGTTTGACCAAACCAGAGCAAAAACGAACTAACCTTGCCCTAGCCGGTCGACCGGCAGATCGACCGATTAACACCATCGCGGGCGCGACCCCTAGGACCATAAGCACGACCGTGTTAACCGCAGCCATGACTTGTTCACAGTGGACTCAAATTTTTTTCTGTGTGGGGCACTTTGTGACACCATTTTTGTACCAAATGCATGCCTACTCAACCTCTAATGACTAGTGCTTGAGCCATTGATAATGCTCTATTTTAGTGCTCCATTAGCTTCATTATCTTCCATAATGCCCCATGACTTCTTTACTTTGTCTTCCACCATTGCTCCACTTGCGTTGCCTATATAAGGAGAGCTCTAGTCTTAAGTTTGAGGAGATGAATTTGAGAGAAGAATTGCAAAGAGAATGTTGAGTTTGACTTAGAGTTTGATAAAGAAAAGGAAGCTTTGAAAACAAGAGAGTTGTCTTGCTAAAATAATGAAGTTACCTAACCTCTATATATCTCATCTTCCCTTGCAAAACCCACACAAGAACCAAGTCCTAAACCTTTGATCAAAAAGAGAGTATTCTTGCCAAGTTAAAGGAGATTAAAGAGTGATCATACACTTGTTCAAAACCATCATTCTAGCTTAAATTCCAAGCTCTTGAATTGAGGATTGAGAACAAAATTCACAACCTTAAGGGTAATCAAAATGAAGTTTGGAAATCAAGAAGCTCATTATTTCTTTAGAATGTGAATTTTTAATTTCTTTCAATTTCTTGCATTTTCTATCTTATATTCATTTTCTCTAATTAGTTTCAAATTAGTTTTATTGTAGCCTAACCAGGAGTGGTTATTTGAGTCACCTACATATTCTTTGTTTTTTCTTTTTTCGGTGTTGCAACAAGACAGGTTTTGCTAAGCCTAGTTAGCTGGCCGGTTAGCTTCTTTTGAACAAAACAGAGTAGTCTTTCGATGTTGAGCATGCCAATTTCTGGTGGTTTCCAAGGTGCATGAAGCTTTTATTTTCTTTTCATTTGAGAGTTTTGTGAGGTTTTTTAATTTTATTGTAATATTTTCTTCCTCTCTCTCTTATTCAGTTTGTAATTATTTATTCAAAGTGTTGTAATAATTCCCCGCCCCATTTCTATCCCGTTCTTTTACTTACTTTTCTTATTTGTAAGTATGCATCATATTTTGCTTTTTATCATATCCGTGCTTTGCATCCATGTTTCATGCATCTTGACTCGGCTAAGTTTGCATTTTTGGATTTAATCAATTCTTATGTGATTATGTGTGCTACCTCATGTTCTTGAGATGATTCACATGTCATATACTAGAAGCTAAATCTTTAGTTGCATTTCATGAGTGAATTACATTAGAATTTTGTTTATAAGATCATGCATATTTTACTAACTTTGTTTTGTAATTGTTCGCGGGACGTTGGTAAATACGTAAGTTTTTATGCTTTAGCATCCCGCTTATGTGTGTTTTGCTTACTATGTTTAGCATCCTACCATATAGTTACTTGCTTACTTGATATAACTATATGAATGTCGGTGGAAGGAGGTTGTGTCGCTTAATTTGGAATGATGTTGATGTTTCATGTTTATAAACTTAATTTCTTTGGGTTGTACATCTTCAAAACACATGAAATCAAGTTGTTCCAAAATGAATGACATAGTCTATAATTGTATGCTTCACATAGTAAATTATATGATTTATTAAATAATCGGAATATGAACATATAAAGTAAATAAAACTCATATCATAGTTAAGTAGAGGCCAATCTTTTGATCGGATGAGCGGGGGTGCTCAATTAATGACCTTCCCCTCTCATGCCTAAGGTTCTGAGCCAAGCATCCTTGGTTACGATGAAGAGTGGCCTTGGCACGAGTCACAGGTTTCCTAATTTTCCCAAAATATTAGGTGGCGACTCTAAAATCAAGTGATGTAGTCCATTTCTGGCAAAGGTTTTTCAATAAAATGAATTTTCTATAAAAGTTGCCATCTGGACTCTTATCCATGTTTCACATTGCACTCTTAAGACTAAATCAAAGAAGTAGAGGGTCCGAACTATTTAACGTGCACGGGTACCCCTTAGGCGATGTTACACATTAGCTGACTTTGTTGTAGAATTCTCACCAAGGACTCACCTGATTTGCCCAGTGGATCTTACTGATGCAATCGGACAGAGGGGAATGGGAACCATGAAAATTGCAAAGCTTACTGTCCCTCTAACCAATCCCACCATGTCAGTTGAACAAAGTGGAGAAGGCACCGTGAAAATTGCAAGGCCTACGACTTTTCCAATCGACCACAACATACCAAACAAACAAAGTAAGGAAGGCATTGCGAAAGTTACACGCCCAACCATAGAAAGACCGCAACCAGAACCCAGCAATACGTTGATGAGTTTGGAAATAGCAGGGCAACTTGTTGGACCCAACGACGTATCTCCAGAGGAGGAGGCCATGCGAGTTGCAATCAATGACAACATGCTTGAAATAGAAATAGCCGTGCCACTGAGCAAAGATATGGTCGTGCAATCAGCTATGCCAAACAATACAAACAAAGAAAACTTGGATCTTCAAAGATCTTAAGATCCCTCAGAATGTTGGAAGCTGTTTGTCGGGAAAATGTGGAAACTTATCGTCGATGGCTCTTTGAATAGAAACAGTGTTGGACTAGGCATCTTTTTGATCTCACCAAATGGTCTGACCATGGAACATGCAATCACACATGGGTTCCCAGCATCAAATAACAAGGCCGAGTACGAAGCGATACTAGCCAGGCTAAAAAGTGTGTTCAGGCTAAAAGCAACCGAGCTAATGGTCTATAGTAATTCAAAGCTCGTTGTCAACCAAGAATCTAGAGAATACGAGGCCAAGGATGACAAAATGACCAAATACCAAACCCTAGTAAATGAGGATCTCAAGAATTTTCAAGCAATTAGAGTTGAACAAATTGGTCGTGAAGGGAATAGCCACGCAGATGAGTTGGTCGGTCTGACTTCCGTGGGAGACAAATTGACACCTGTCCTTTTACTGATTGAATTCCTTCGAAGACCTAGCATTGAAAAACTGAAAACAGTAGGAGTGTTGTGTGCTGAGTAAAGGCCCTCTTAAATAGACCCCATTATAATCCTTTTGAATGACAGAGCTCTGCCGACCAACAAGAAAGAAGCAAACAAAATCCAAACTAAGTCTGAGTAGTTTCGGCTCTCCCCATGCCTTATATAAGAAATCC